CATACTGTGACGGTTATACCTTTTACTGATCTGCGCCGAGCCCCACAAACACGCAGTGAAGAAGGCATTAACAAAACTGTCATGACCTTTTTTACAAATTTTGTTAGCTTTCAAATAGAATGCTGTGTCTACATTAAAACTACTTGTAGAATGTAATCATGCACATAATTGTTACAGAGCTTTGCTTTTCACCCAATTAAGTTTTACATTTTTTATCGCAACCTTTTAAACATACGCAAAGCATCCAGTTTGGTATTCAAAATGTATTCTATTTGCCGATAAATTCAACGGACTACTACTTGGTTTGCCTTTGGCTTCATGCTGAAAATAATAGGAATGTGCGAATCATAGAATTTGGGCTTAAATTGGATAATGATTTGACATTATAACTTTTCGGTTTAATATCACATAGTTTCTGCACTTCTCTCAAAGCCCGCCAATTCTGGGTCCGTTTACAGCAAGTCCTCTAGCAGCCGCAGGTTACCTGTTGGGCCACCGAGATTGTTCTTCTCTTGGCGCAGACAGCTCATTGTATGTTTTGCGGGTAAAACAGCGCGAACAAGGAAACAGGACAGAGACGATGTACACAGACGGACCGCTAACTGTCAACTGTCTATTTTTAAAGAAACGCCCAACGGCGTGGTCACACCAAACAAAAAATACATCACGACAGATGACCGTCACATGATCGTCACAATTTAAAGCCCCTCAAAAATGCCAACTCACAACCCTAAAGATCTCTATAAGGTGCACTGACACATTTTTCTTTGAACTTAGAAATGTAAAAGGCCTCAGTTATCTCCCTAGTTCGTTGGTGACTGTGTCTTCCCAGGACCGTGGTATCTTCCAAAACCAGAGAGCAACCACATCTGTCGCTGCGAACCGCCAGATTACCTGATGGAGATGCCCTAATCGAACACGCGTGTTCACGTAATCTATCATAATTGCATTGACCGGTTTGGCCGATGTAAACGTTTTTACGAGTCAGAGGAATACTGAAGACCCCTCCCCCCCCCCCCCCCCCCCCCCCACGCAAGGGAGAAACTTGTTTTTATGCTTCTTATCACATGCGGCCCTGACAACCGATCACCTCTCCACCCTCGCACATAAACGTCCCAGCTTGGCCGGTGCTGAGAAAACGACAGGAACATCGTGGCGTTGCGCTACTTATTTTGAACCTATGCGCCACCTTATGGAATCTTCTAGATATAGAGCACCACCACTGGTTTCTGCGTAGACTTCCTACATATAACTATACCTCCGGATTTCTCACCCTCCACAAGAGGCACTCGCCCACACCTACCAGGAGATTGGCAGGAGTGCAGCCCTCCAAAAGTTTATTGGCCTGGCTACGAAAACTCATCGTCATTTGGTGAGGACATGACCTGGCGAGTGACCCCCAAAGACTACTGGATATGATTCCCCTTTTAACTATGTTTGAATGACTCGAGTCGAATGGAAGCACACCTTTCTTCGACCTAGGACAGTAGCACCAACAGACGTGGGAGTCCGAGAAAGCTTAATGTCTGAAAACTGGAGAACACTCCCAACAGGGTCTTCCCCGGTGAAGTTCAACACATCCATCATGTCTGCAACCACACCCTCTCTGTTGCGGCCAGAATCACTTCGGAACAACACTAAAAAGTAATCTACGTACCTAAATACACGGATGATGTCACTCCCTAGATCTCCGGCTAAGCCTCCATCTCACCTAGACAGGAATATGTCACCTAAAGAAGACACTGTTGGGGGTGTTCTACAGTTTGAGACATTAAGCTAACTTTCTCGAAATCCTACGTGTGTTGGCGCTACTGTCCTAGGTTGAAGAAAGGTGTGCTTCTGTTCGACTTGAGTCATTCAAACATAGTTAAAACGGGAATCATATTCGGTAGTCTTTAGGGGTCACTTGTCAGGTCATGTCCTCACCGAATGACGACAAGTTTTCGGAGCCAGGTCAACAAACTTTTGGAGGGCGTGCTATCCTGGCAATCTCTTGCTAGGTGTGGCCGAGTGTCTCTTGAGGAGGGTGAGAAATCCGGAAGTAGTTATTGGCGTAAACCTTCGCTTTCGCTTTCGCTTTTTCTTACCTCACTTAAATCGCAAAGCATGATCAATGACCTCGCCACATTTTTTAGATAGTCTTTCGATTCTGGCGATTCCTAAGCGTAAATGACCGCGATAATTTTCGGCATGGCGACGTCTTCGGAAAGCGGATTGCCTTGACTCTATCGGCCGGGTATGGATAGCACACAAAAGCAGACAGCGTCCCAATAGACCTTTTTGCTAAATTTTCCAAGCACCAAAGTGCATGCTACGAGTATAGTTACACGCGTTGCACGTGCTGGCGTCTACAGTATAGTAACTGTTCTAAAGCAAAAAGTCTAAAACACAATTTGCCTCGCACGGGCGTTCGTCAAGGCCTTATTATGATTATTTACTTCGAATCTTTTATAAAAGGAAGGCCAGTGAGCGCGGACCTTAGAATTACACTTCCAGCGTTCTCCTCAATGCTTGGGTAATTTAGAAGAAGGTCTATTGGGATGCTGTCTGCTATTGTGTGCTATCATTACCCGGCCGATTGAGGGAAGACAATCCGCTTTCCAAAGACGTTGCCATGCCGACAATTATCGCGTTCCTTTAGGCTTAGGAATTGCCAGAATCGAAAGACTATCTAAAAAATCCGGCGAGGTCATTGCTCCTGCTTTGCGATTTAGGTAAGGTAAGGCAAAGCGAAAGCTTCCTGCACAATTCGGTGCTGACTAACGCGCCCGATATTGCAGCTACAACGACATATTAGTTCCAAAGCGAGTGGCGCTCACTCACCGGGGTACCGCCATGTTTGCCCGCATTCCTACCGAGCTAGTCACGTGATTTCAAAATCTCTCTCTTAACGCCCTGTCACACTGAGGCAACACGACGGCAGCAAGAACACAACACGTTGTCCAACAGTCGGGCAACTTGTTGCTCGCTCCCCGTGTTCTCCGACAAACCTGTCACATCGCGGCAACAGCACGACAACATGGACGACAACTAAAATGTTGCCTTGGTATGACAACTTTCGGCAACAAAAACAGCAACAACTTGTGTTGGACAACGTGTGTTGCCCTGATCGCTGGCTGAATGAATTTCGGGCCGGCAACACGACAATATAGATAGCTTCGATGCTAGAGCTAGTCGCCTATGAATAAAGTCTTACTCAAGCAAAGGCTTGGAAAACGTTATTTAACAGTAATTAGGGCTGGCGTGCAGCCAAAAATATTTTCGATTAATATTTTTGCTGCGTAGTTACGGAAAGCGATTTCGAAATGGTCACAGCTACGGTCGTGAACGTTCAGACTGGTTTTGAAATTAGAACTCCCGAGAGACCTGCTCACATTACTGATAGTGAAATAAAATGGCATGCCAGTCACCCGCTAATGAAGTATAATAAAAATAATCCTTTAAACCAAAGATTAAAAAATCGAAGCATAAAACGACCACAGTGATCATGATTGTTGATGCTTTGAACTTGGAAACATCCGCTACCAGACACCTGATTTGTTTTAAAAATACCCAGGACGTTTTGGGGGAATGAAGCGATCACATAGCAGGCGGTAGGCAAGTAAATAGCGTTGAACAATATTTATTCCACCGATTGTTATGAAGGCCGAGGGTGTCAGTGTCGCAATTTTCAAGCACTGTCAGTTCAGCTCAACACCACATTACAAAAGACGCTTTGGGCTACTGCTGGTGCTAACGCAATTTTACAGTAGAAATAGGAATTGCATGAAAGAACCGGATAGAAACTTTTCATACGGTGGCGTAAATCTCGAACATATATCAGCGATGTCACTTTCCTCGGTTAGGGCTACCTGCTTTGGCCGGGAATGAAGAACATTTCTATAGAATAAAAAAGCGGAAAATACTCCCCGTGTCAAGTTTTCTAATCACAGTCACTGGTTGATGTCGTGCCGTGGCCCTTCGAACGCACTGGCACTTTGTAGAGTCACATTTCCAGCGATTCCGCGTCGCACACAAACGAAGGTAAACAATCAAGATGGCGGAATGCTCCCCGTGTTGTCCTCGCCGTCAGCGCGGTGTGACAGGGTTGTCGGACAACAAATCGGGCAACACGGTTGCCGGGCGGCAGCAACATGTTGCCTGACTGTTGTTGTTGCCGGGATGTGACAGGGTCGCCGGCAACACGACTTCGCCGTGTTGTCGGATAGAGTTGTCCAACTGTTGCCTCAGTGTGACAGGGCCTTTAGGAACTGCGGCTAACTGTAGCCGCGGTTAGCGCTTCAAGCAAACGAGCCCTGGTGACTGCCCCTCCGCCTCACATGCTCAGTAATCCAAATGCACGTATGCAATGGTGACCGTCTCCACGATTATTAATTAACGTTACTAGAATATTGCTTTCTTCTCGTTTTTATTTCACGTAAAGCATAAGGCACCTATTATCAAAGATTGTATTCTAAAGTAGAAAGCATTAGACTATAAATAATTCGACATACTATAGTCGCTAAAATAACCTCCGCTGAAGCTGATTGAAGCGGGTGTCAGTGCGGTGAACACCTTTAAAAAAAGGGCATTTATTTCACTTTACCAATTTTACACTCTCTTCTTTCAGTCTTCAAAAACAAAGGGTGTTTTATTAAAAAGAACACTAACGCACGATTGAAAGAGGTGTGTCTCTAGAAACAAGGGTGCCGAAACGGTGTAGCGAAAGATGTACCTCTCCGTTTGAAATACCTTTTTTTTTAGAATCATAGGTAATAGAAACATGTTAGTGTACAGGCGGAATGCCGGAACCGCTCTCAACCGCACAATAGTCATGCCTCTTTTTCTAGCTCACCCTTGCGACGGCTATGTGACTCTAATGGCGGCCATCTGTTACTGCATCAAGGCACACGTGCGTCGCGTGCAAATAATAAAAAAAATAAACGCGCTCCATCCGGATCGTCATAATTGCGAGTGACATACCCTATTTTCGTCCTGCTTCCTTCAGAGGCTCTCGTTGCCATTCTGTTGCAACGGTTGTTCGAAGTGTAGCGTCGCACGTTCGTTTGCTCCGAGTTTTCGATATCATGTCGATGAACAAGTTTCGCATTGCACTGCTTCAGCACCTAGTGAAATGCAACAAAGCGGAAAACCTCGAAATAGCAAGTATGAAAATTAGAGAGGTGGCATCCAAGGGTGCCCAGGTGGTCTGCCTCCCAGAAGACTTTAGCGTTCCCTACGACGCACGCTACACACCAGAGAGCGTCGAGCCGATTCCAGGTGAAACCAGCGAGATGTTGTCACGCAGTGCCAAAGAAAACCAGGTCTATCTCGTCGGCGGCACATTCTCAGAGAGTGAAAACGGCAAACTGTACAACACCTGCCTGGTTTACGGACCGGACGGTTCGATGCTGGCCAAGCACCGCAAGTTACACCTCTACGACGTCGACATCCCAGGCAAGATCACCGTTCGTGAATCCGAATTCTATTCAGCGGGAGACAAACTGACCACTTTCGACACTCCGTTTTGCAAAGTGGGCGTTGGGGTATGTTACGACTTTCGGTTCGCACCTGTGGCACAGATCTACGCGCAGCTTGGCTGCAAGTTGCTCGTCTGTCCAGCATCTTTCAACATGACGCTCGGTCCAATATACTGGGAGTTGATTTCCAGGAGTAGAGCGCTTGACAACAAGGTCTACATGACGACAGTGTCGCCCGCGAGGGATGAAACGGCATCGTTGGTCGTCTGGGGACACAGCATGTTGGTCGATCCATCAGGCAGAGTGGTCAAGTCTGCCGGCGCTGGTGAAGAGATCGTGCTTGCTGAGGTGGACTTGGATCGTCTGGCCTTGATGCGAGATCAAGATCCCATCATCAAGCACATGAGGAGTGATATGTACAAGGTTGTGAGCTGCGAGGAGTGAGAACGTATCTTGATTGATTCCTGAAAAGAATCTGCGATCCAGGGGGTCTGCTAGGCGATGCCCGGCGGCATCTATTCTGCCCGGATATCTCTTGGAAACAAAGTTTATTTCTTATATGTGAGGTGTGGGGCTCGTGGTATTGTCTGTGTATTCTTTGAAATGGGTTTTAATATATATCTTTTTGTGTTGTCTGTGTTTGATTTAGCAATCTGAAACACTGAAGTTGACTCATTTTTAAACAAACCTCGTGAAACCTTAAGCCGGTGTTACGCGGCTTAACATCATGCAAAAGACAGCCTGCATAGAGATTCAAACTCTAGTCACCGCGAGATCCGTGCGTCGAATGCCGCATGGCAATCAGTTTAAGGAGAAACTTGACACGCTGCATTCGAACCACAGATACTGCGGTGACTCTTGTTTGAAGACTGTCGTTTGTATGATGTGTGAGCAGTGTGACTCCGGCTTAAAGGGGCCCTGCAAGGACTTTTTTACTGGTTTTTAATTTGCACCGAACCTCAGCGCACTGAACACAGTAACTTAATGATACTTTTCTTTTCTGGAATTTTGTTTTATTTTAAAAGTTATAGGAAAATTAAAATTACAAAAACAAGCAAAAAATAACCTCCTTCATGACGTCCTTGGTTGCTTGAGTGGCCGTGAACTAGAGGAGGGGTAGTGAGCTCAGCGAGCGCCCACGCCTGTTGCACTCCGTGTTAACAGCTAGAGAGGGCGCCACTAAAGCATGTTTGGATAGGCTGTATGAAGCGGGCAGCCAGGGAGGCTCGCACTGCATTTGCTGCGCGATTAAACAATAATTCGGCATGACACTTCATTGGCCACAAACGACAGCAAACACGGGGTGAATATCACTTCAGAACGGGAGCCACTTCGCGCTGCCATACCGCCAAAGGGCCAAACCGCAAGCCAAAGCTGCTCGCCGAAGGCCTTGGGAACGCTCGGAACCGGTCGGATCCTCGACTGCAGCGCCGCCGCGTACACCCGGGATCTTTCTACGCTAGCCGTTCGTCGGTGCCTGATCCGACCACTCCTTTCTAGTATGCGCCGCCTCTTCCACCGCTTGGTGGTGAGTATGTCGAATGGCCCTTTCTTGTTTCCGTACTTCATAAACTACATTTGTTTCTTTTAAGATATAAAATATTGAACAAAGACTCCCTTTATAAATAATTGAAATGGCTCGCGCCACTTATATTTTGTATTTCAACTAAAAAGATGCTTTAAGCGGCTCTGACCACTAGAAAGGCCAGGACCTAAAACGTCACGATGTCGTCACATATTGCGCGCTTTCGGCACCGTGTGTCGCCCCCGTAGGTGGAGGAGCTTTTCGCGTCGTCCAGTTGAAATATGACGCACTGATAATTAGTTACTCTCTCCGTGCCCGCTGGCATTCCCGAACCCCAAGAGACGTGGAAACCGTAAAAAAAGGTAGACGCTTAAATATGATTGCAGGGCCCCTTTAGGAACACAAGAAAGGCTTTTTTTTCTTTTTCTTAAGTAATGGTTTCTTACGCTTTTGCGTTCTACGTCTTTTTTATTATTATTTTTTTTTTTATTTAGGTCAGGTGTTTTTAAAAAACCTTTTAACTAAGAGGCCGGATTATCGATTCGTCGCAGTCTCGTGGGCAAGGAGAGAATAGTATATATAGAAGTAAAGAGAAACTAAATACATAAACCCTGATAAGCACTTAAACACGCACAAAAAATAATGGCCGGGTACATTTGAAAAGTACAAAAAAAAACTAAGTGTAATTATTGCCTATACAGTAATGTCTCGTTAATATGAACACCTCCATTCTCCCAAAAAGGTGTCCATAAAGTAAGTCGTCCGTAATAACGGGACAAAAGTGCACGTATTTCCCTATTTTGTCCCCCAAAACGTCGTCCGTACAGCGAGGTTTCTGTATTAATTGGGTTCATATTAGCGGAGCATCACTGTACCTCAGTTTGAAATTTAATAATTAGCTAATTATGACATTAAACAACTCTTGGGGCCAAGAAAACTCACCAAACATGAATTAAAGCGCATGGAAACTTTGGTACATTGCTGCAGTGCGAAGAGACAACAATAATGATAAAACTAATGCTGCCAATATGCAATAGTCGTAACAGCAAACACCGAGTACAATGCACAGTCCCGAACGAAAGCAACGCGAACGACAGAGCGACAGCCTCTTGCGATAGTAGATACACTCAACGGTCACCGGTGGAAGCTCTGGCCGAGCTTGTGGTAGGCTTCGGGAGTAGGGACGATGGCAAGTGGCCTGCCCGTTGAGTAAATATAGTTAGCGCCGACTTTTTGTTTTCAATTTAGCACAACATGTGGTTGAAATCGCCGAGCCTTCGTGATGGCGACAATGCAGCAGATGCGTTTCGAGTGGCCGTGATGACTCACAAAAGTAGTATTTCATCAGTCACACACATCTGTGCTAATAATGGTATTATCGATATGAGGCTGGCTTATTTTATGTGCCATCTCGGGCGTCCGAAAGGCGCATGCTGCATCGTGAAATTCGCGTTTAGCGCAGACCCCACGTCTCGCGAGAGTTTCCTTTGAACACCGTTGAGTTATTCAAAGGGGGCGAAAGACTCTGTTGAGGCCGTTGCTCCGTCGTTATCGATTTTTTTGTTCGAGACTGTACACGAGAACGCAATGGAATTTTAACTGCTCGTTTCTGCCAGAGAGTTCTTTACTATTTCTTTCCGTGTTCAGAGGAGTGCACGTGTCATGCAGCGCCTGCGCAGAACCGGAGCGAAAGCGGGAGTGCTGGGAGTCATCTGCACCTGTTGGCTCTCGTTCCCCTACGCTAGGCCGTTTGCTACATTAAATTCTTCGCGGTTGAATGAACTCGATCGGGTTTATTTAGTACTAAAGTATATAAAGCATTATATGGAGTGCACTGAAAACGTTTTCAGCACAAAATCCGATTTTGTATACATTTTTAAAGGTTCCCGTTGTTTACTTATCCTTTCCATGAGCGTTCGGGGGGATCGGTGGCCGAGTGGGCTAAAGCGCACACCCAGCTCGACGCGCGTGGAGCGAAAGTTCGCGCTGCAGAACCCATGAATCCTGGGCTCGAGCCCCACCCCTGCGCGTTTCGATCTGGATGAGCATCGTACCGGCGTGCGGCCGTGTATCACTTCTGCGTGAGCAAGTTAAAGACCCCAGGTTAGCAGTCGTAGTGCACTGGCTACATTGCTCATCTACAGCTGAGACACCAGACGCCCGCTGAGGCAGACTAACTTACGGCTGTATAAACATACACGCAACAATTTACTTTTGCATGAGCGTTCCAGTCTTGGAAATCCGTACACTGCGGTATAATTTGTATTCATTTAGCAATAGTAGACTAATTCCAAGTCTCTCGAGCTTCGCACTTCGGCCATTGGTTCGCGGCATCAGGATGACTTCGCGTTGGGATTTACTCACGGCAGCGCCCGGTAGTGGTTACTTCGAAGAGGCCTAAAGGGAGCGTCGCCTTGGCCAAACTGTACTAAATCGCAGACCTCTGCAATGTGTCGGAGTCGTCAGTCTTCGTTCAAACGCTACTAAAGGTGGGGGCTATCAAGAATGAAATACTTTTCCTCTGTTTTTTAAGAAGAATATCAAGATAATACTACGTAGCATAAAGAGAAAAAAACACGATTTACGTGAGCCAATGTTTTTAAACTAATCACAAGGAGCCAAACCTGGGCGAGCCGGTGCGTAAGGTGCTTTCAAACTATCATATTCGGGTTAATTCCTACCCTCTGTTAGGATGTCGCATCCGCGTCCACGCAGGGTTTCTCATCGATGAAAGGAGGTGTAATCTCCGCATCGGCGTCATTGTTACACATATGGCAGACATCTGATTAAGAGCTCAAAGAAATGGCACCGCAAGTGTCGTCTGCTCGTGTTGTCTGCTTCTGCACGGACGCTGAAGTGACTTCGGGGCCAGTGCAAGGTTTTGAGGAACTGGGTCTGAACTTGTTCAGAACTGGGATGAATCGAAGGCACCAGTGTAGCGGCCGTGCAACTTCCGGTTGAAAATAGTTCGCCAGCTCGTGCAGCACTGAACTAGTTCAGCCAGTTCAGGCGAATCAAACAGACCTATACACCTTTTCCACATGGCGCAGCCATCTTGAATGTCGTCACTTCTGGTCAACGTTACTAGATTACCTCAGTTGTGGAACTCCCGCGGAAGGGGGTACCCCGCTCACTCATCTCAATCCGCCTGCCGTCGTTCGAAGCGCCATCTAGATTTTCGTTTCATAACTGTGCGTTCCATAGAGCCTGCATAGAGCAGAGCTGAAACGCCATCTAGACGCCGTGCTTCGAAACGTACGTATCCCGATTCCCATCGAATATACTGCAGTTACCAAAGCAGCAGTCCGGCGGCGCGTCGAGCGCACCTGGCGAGTCGTGGTTAGTGAGGGGGCTACTGTTCGTGCATGCAGCGTTTATGAGCAGTTCCGTAACGGAGCTAATCTAATAACGTTGCTTCTGGTATACGGTAAGACACGCCGCTAAAACTTTTTTTTTTTACAAAGAATGCGTGATTGTTACACATTCTTGTTTTGCTTCACCTATATTTTTTCGCATATTCCAGGTTGAAATGTTTTATTATTTGTTTTGTCCCGCATACAAGACGCGGAACCCACGTGACTGACAACGACTGGAAACAGAAAACGCCTATAGTTAAACATACATGAAGCAAGGACCTAAGATTGGTAATGCTGGTGATGCCAATTTTTAATTCATAATATGGCGAAAGGAGCTGCATTACGATGCTGTTTCCCTCGTTATTTATAGTATCTTCGTTTGCGCATTTGAAGCGACTTCCGGCGCCGTTTCTTCACGCGCACTTCTTTTGCAAAGCAGCAGGTCTGCTGGAAGCGGGACGCGGGCCGGGCGTCATTGAGAGACAAGAAGGACGGTAATAATGCCTGGAGTTTATTTGGTGTTTATTTAAAGTTACTCTTTATTTTCTAATTAACAAAAACCGCGTGCTTTTTTTTTGCGACGGTGTTATTTTATTTTGGGACAAAGGGCGTGGTGTTTGGAGCGTTTCTAAAGTAGGACTTTTTGTGGGGGGAAGAGACAGGAAATATTTTGAATGGGTGTAGAATGAGTGCATTGATTATTGACTTGGCGCCTTAAGGTTACTAAAAACAAGACAGTGCAGTGCGGAT